CTAAAATTTTTGCTTTACAAAAATCCCCACTTATAAGAGGATAAAAACATTCCCTAAAGAAAATATTTGCAAACAGCTTATCTGACAAAGGACTCATTTCTAGATGATACAAAGAACTACAACAATTTAACAGTTAAAATAATTCTAACAATGATCCAATTAGAAAATGAGCAGAACACATGAAGAGACATCCCATCAAAGAAGGTCTGTGGATGAAAACATGTTCAAGGGACCAGCAGTTAGCCTAATGGCTATGTCGCTGGACTCCCACGTAGTCGACCGCGGTCTGAGTCCCCAACTCAGTGGCTTAAACTCATGCTGGGCGCATGTGTGTGCATGTCCAAGATCCCAAGAGGAGAATGGAGGAGAAGGGATTGCGGCGTGGACATGGCCCCAGCGGAGGGGATGATTTCTTGCTTTCCATCTCTGTCTCTCTGTCTCTCTCTGTCTGTCTGGTGAGCACATGCGCCCTATAGCAAAAGCCTCTCCAAAAAAAGAAAAGAAAACGCACTCAAAGTATATAGCACTAGGACCTTCCAAATGAAACCATGAGGAGATACTACTGCACATTCATAGTACGGCTACAGTAAAAACAGTGGAAGGCCAAAGGTAGATGCAGAAGCCCTGGATACACGGCTGCTGTGGATGCGAAGTGTTACAGCCATTGCAGAAAAAGATTGGCAGTTTCTTAAAAGTTAAACGTGCACCTACCCTTTACCCAAGTAATTGAGATGCCTGGGCACTTCTCCCAAGAAATGAAGACTTGGGCTCACACAAAAGCCTGGACATAAATGTTTGCTACAGTTCTATTTGCAACAGCCAAGCTGGACGCAGCCCAGGTGCCCCTCAACAGATGAATGTTCAAACCAGTGGTGGTACTCCTGTGCATAGAGTACCACCCAGCGATGGACAGGAATAGACCTGGGTACTCCCGTGCGTAGAATACCACCCAGCGATGGACAGGAATAGAACTGGTTACTCCCGTGCGTAGAGTACCACCCAGCGATGGACACGAATAGACCTGGGTACTCCCGTGACAGGAATAGACCTGGGTACTCCCGTGCGTAGAGTACCACCCAGCGATGGACAGGAATAGACCTGGGTACTCCCGTGCGTAGAGTACCACCCAGCGATGGACAGGAATAGACCTGGGTACTCCCGTGCGTAGAGTACCACCCAGCGATGGACAGGAATAGACCTGGGTACTCCCGTGCGTAGAGTACCACCCAGCGATGGACAGGAATAGACCTGGGTACTCCCGTGCGTAGAGTACCACCCAGCGATGGACAGGAATAGACCTGGGTACTCCCGTGCGTAGAGTACCACCCAGCGATGGACAGGAATAGACCTGGGTACTCCCGTGCGTAGAGTACCACCCAGCGATGGACAGGAATAGACCTGGGTACTCCCGTGCGTAGAGTACCACCCAGCGATGGACAGGAATAGACCTGGGTACTCCCGTGCGTAGAGTACCACCCAGCGATGGACAGGAATAGACCTGGGTACTCCCGTGCGTAGAGTACCACCCAGCGATGGACAGGAATAGACCTGGGTACTCCCGTGCGTAGAGTACCACCCAGCGATGGACAGGAATAGACCTGGGTACTCCCGTGCGTAGAGTACCACCCAGCGATGGACAGGAATAGACCTGGGTACTCCCGTGCGTAGAGTACCACCCAGCGATGGACAGGAATAGACCTGGGTACTCCCGTGCGTAGAGTACCACCCAGCGATGGACAGGAATAGACCTGGGTACTCCCGTGCGTAGAGTACCACCCAGCGATGGACAGGAATAGACCTGGGTACTCCCGTGCGTAGAGTACCACCCAGCGATGGACAGGAATAGACCTGGGTACTCCCGTGCGTAGAGTACCACCCAGCGATGGACAGGAATAGACCTGGGTACTCCCGTGCGTAGAGTACCACCCAGCGATGGACAGGAATAGACCTGGGTACTCCCGTGCGTAGAGTACCACCCAGCGATGGACAGGAATAGACCTGGGTACTCCCGTGCGTAGAGTACCACCCAGCGATGGACAGGAATAGACCTGGGTACTCCCGTGCGTAGAGTACCACCCAGCGATGGACAGGAATAGACCTGGGTACTCCCGTGCGTAGAGTACCACCCAGCGATGGACAGGAATAGACCTGGGTACTCCCGTGCGTAGAGTACCACCCAGCGATGGACAGGAATAGACCTGGGTACTCCCGTGCGTAGAGTACCACCCAGCGATGGACAGGAATAGACCTGGGTACTCCCGTGCGTAGAGTACCACCCAGCGATGGACAGGAATAGACCTGGGTACTCCCGTGCGTAGAGTACCACCCAGCGATGGACAGGAATAGACCTGGGTACTCCCGTGCGTAGAGTACCACCCAGCGATGGACAGGAATAGACCTGGGTACTCCCGTGCGTAGAGTACCACCCAGCGATGGACAGGAATAGACCTGGGTACTCCCGTGCGTAGAGTACCACCCAGCGATGGACAGGAATAGACCTGGGTACTCCCGTGCGTAGAGTACCACCCAGCGATGGACAGGAATAGACCTGGGTACTCCCGTGCGTAGAGTACCACCCAGCGATGGACAGGAATAGACCTGGGTACTCCCGTGCGTAGAGTACCACCCAGCGATGGACAGGAATAGACCTGGGTACTCCCGTGCGTAGAGTACCACCCAGCGATGGACAGGAATAGACCTGGGTACTCCCGTGCGTAGAGTACCACCCAGCGATGGACAGGAATAGACCTGGGTACTCCCGTGCGTAGAGTACCACCCAGCGATGGACAGGAATAGACCTGGGTACTCCCGTGCGTAGAGTACCACCCAGCGATGGACAGGAATAGACCTGGGTACTCCCGTGTGTAGAGTACCACCCAGCGATGGACAGGAATAGACCTGGGTACTCCCGTGCGTAGAGTACCACCCAGCGATGGACAGGAATAGACCTGGGTACTCCCGTACGTAGAGTACCACCCAGCGATGGAAAGGAATAGACTTGACACACAGAACAACCTGCAGAGTTCCAGAAAATTCTAAGTTGTGCATGAAGAGCCAGTCCAGGGCTGCGCACTGTTCAGCTGCATTTACACGACATTCTCAAAACAACGAATCATAGAACAGGAGAACAGATCAGTGACCGCTAGAGGTTAAGGGGATGAGACAGAGAGAAGGTGGGCAGGAGGGAGGGAGAGCGGCTGCCAGGGCTTCCCGTGGTGCGGAGGTGCCCTGGACCTGGCCCAGTTCTCATCAGTCCCCTATGATTTGCAAGATGCGACTATTGGGGGAAACTGGGCAGAAGGTACATGGGTCTCTCTGGACTCTGTCTTACGACTCTGTATTGTGGATCTATGGTTACCGCAAAGCGAAAAAGCTAACACGTAGAATAATAAATTAGTAAATAGGCTCAAAATGAGTTCAGGGAGCGTCCATAATTTACCTAAAACTGTGGCCTTCTCAGTGGACACCACAGCCTACCCTGTGGAAGCACTCACGTCGCACACCACACAGCTTGAGGTAGTTCCCTCTTCCCCTAACTCAGCAGTCTCACATTTAGGGGACCTCAGTGGCCACCCTATGGATAAAGCTGCACCGTGCTAGGAATAAAAGTGATTGCAAAGAAACCGCGATGAAAACACGAAAGCCTGCAAGGAGCTCCCTTGTGGTTGCAAGTCGGAGCTGAGGAAAAGCTTTCTATCAATGCCCAAGCCAGCTCTGGACACCCCTGTGTGTCCTTCCCACACAGCTCAGCCACCCCTGCCCTGCCCACCCAGGAGCGCAGGTGGAATTCCCCGACCTGACTCACAAGAGCAGCTTTGGAGTCTACGCTGACGTCCTGCAAACTCCGGGACCTTAGACCAGTCATTTGAAGGCTCTGTGCTGTATTTTTCTCACTTAAAAAGTGGGGCCCATGTTCGTTTGTTCAAAGGACTGGATGAGACAACGGGTTCGGTGTGTCTGGATGTGGCAGGGTTTCGGTTTTTTTCCCTGGCCACACAGGGGCCTCCCTACTCCCTTCACCCATCTTGGTCCTCCTGGGTGGTACTCTCCACCAGGAGAAAAGTCTCTCTGGTTGGCTCGTTCACTCATACCTCATTTCCCCTCGGCAGTTCCGCAGCATCCGTCAGCCAGGTCCTTGTGGTTGAACTGCTCCTGGGGGCCCTCCTGCAGGAACCCCCCCAACTTCCCACACATGCAACGAAAGCAGATCTCCGCGCCCCAGCTTCTAAGCATTTCCTCGCAGACCCAAAGCTGCTGCAGACCCTGGACTATGTCCTAAACACCAGCTCGAGGCACGTCATGTGTGCCGGTCCCGACATGTATGGTGTCCCAGCTGGCTGACCACACCATTTCTCTAAGGTGCTTCCTGGGCCCGGGTGCACTCGGCAGACAACGTCTGGTTTCAGGCTCACAGGAAGATCTGCTACAGCAAAGGGGAAGGCTGCTGCTTCTCAGGACGCCGCCCTCGGCTCTCGGCTCATCTGGGTGCTGGCAACCCACACATGGGGATAATTCACGGTCCATTGGCCCTTAAAGTCTCCCTGACCGAGGCCACCCTTGGGCAGCTACTCAGGAGAGCACCCATTCGTAGGGTCTCTGCCAAATATCTCCACATTCAGATGAGCCTGCAGAGGTGCAGGTTTTAGGTTCTTCGTCTAATATAGTGGAAGTGTCCAACCAATTCACACCTGTGGTTTAACTAGGTCCGTTACTGGGGGGAAGCAGCTTATGAAGCAATACATTTCCATTAAACACTCTCCTGTTTCATAGAGCATGGATCGTGGGCCTAGTGTCTGACAGCCATTATGAACTGCAATAGCAGCGTGGTGTTATGCACACCAGAGAATTACTGAACTGGGCCGACCCCAGCTTTACATAGCATTTTCTTTAACTGTAGGCTTGAAGACAAATATGTCGTTAAGAACACAGGGTGACAGAGTTTGGGTTTTTTTAGGACAAAACTGACGTTTTACATATACTTATGTTGTAGTGTTACATACCTTCATGAAGAGTGTTGTCTTTTCAGCCAATGAGGTTCCAGTTCAAATACAGATGACCTGCCCAGCCCTGGGAAAGGTCCAGAGGCCCAGCAAGGTCGGACGGGCTGGCCACCCGAGGTCCAGCCAGGGAGCCCCGCACTCGCTGTGCAGGGAACTGGTGACTGCCTGCCGAGACGGCGCCCCAGTGTCCCCCTACAGCTCCCGCTGCAGGCTGCATCTCAGAGGACAGAGAAATGCTCCCAGCGCCTCAGAAAACGCAGTCGGGGGGACAGCCTCCACTGCCTGGCCTGCGCGTGGGCTCCGAGTGGACTGAGAAGAGCCCCATGCCGAGAAACCCGGAGACTCATGCAGCGACAGAACTTGGTCTGGCTCTGAAGTAGGAAGTCAGTGATTTTCTATACGTTACTTAACGTCTCAGCAGCAGCCCTTAGAAAACAGGAAGAGAGACGCAGAGAAGAAAAAAAAAAAAAAAAGAGCCACAGCTCAAGTCTTGGTAATGGCGGTGACTGATCCCTGAGGGCTAAGCAGAGAACAGGCTGCTGCCCGGGGCACAGGGGTGTGTGGACGCCGCAGCCCCCAGTGGGGCCGGGGCCCGAATATGCGGGTTTTCAT